TGATTCTCCTGCCTCAGCCTCCTGAGTGCTGGGAATACAGGCATGCGCCACCACGCCTGGCCTGTATCACATTTTTTTAAACAAAACTGAGTGATTTGAATTGGTAATAACCATGTATACAGATGAAAAATGAATTTCTTGTTGGCAAAAGACATTGGTGAGATAGAAGTTTTTTTGGTGGGGGGGGTGTTTTTGGTTTTTTTCCAGACATGGTCTCACTCTGTAGTTCACACTGACCTTAAACTCACTATATAGCTCAAGCTGGCCTCAACTCATTGTGACCCTCCTGCCTCAGCCTCCTGAGTGGTGGAATTACAGGTGTGCACCACCATGCCTGGCAGATAGGAGATTTTTACTTCAGCTTCACAGTTATTTTAATCATAGAAATGGTAAGTAGCCAGGCACCTGGCTATAATCTCAGCATTTGGGAAGCTGAGGTAGGAGGATTGCCACAAGTTTGAGGCCAGCCTGGACTACATAACAAGACTCTGTTTTTTAAACAAACAAAAAAGTTAAGTAACTTTAAAGCACCTACTACGTGAATAAATTTTTAGAAAGCTTTAAAAACTTAAAGCAGGCTGGGCATGGTGGTGCACACCTGTAATCCCAGCACTCAGGAGGCTGAGGCAGGCAGATTGTTGTGAGTTCGAGGCCAGCCTGGGCTACAAAGTAAGCTCAAGGCCAGCCTGAACTGCATATCGAGACCCTGTCTCAAAAAGACAAAAAAAAAAAACAAAAAACCTAAAACAGTAAATACATTTGTTGCAATTTTAGCAGGTGAATACCTAAGATTTGATTTGAAATTATAGAGCCATTAGACAGTGACTAGATTATTTACTGGAGTGACGTTATTTGAACTGTTAAAATTTAAAAGAAAGTGCTTTTTTAATAGATGGGTTATTGAATTCTTGTTGTTGTTGTTCTCCCCATCTCCACAGCGGCTGCGTTCCAACAAGGAAAGATACCTCCTACTCCATTCTCCGCTCCTCCCCCGGCAGGGGCCATGATCCCGCCTCCACCCAGTCTCCGTAAGTTTAGATGTTTTATTTTAAAGTGTATACTGCGCAGCAGGTTATCTTTTGCTTGTTGAGTGAGTATGTAAATAGTAAAGGAAACAATTTTAGTATTGTAATTTCTATTTCTAAATTTTTCTCTTTTTTTTTTTGGTACCAGGAATTGGACTCAGGACCTCATGCTTGCCAGGCAGGCGCTTGTGCTGCTGAGCTATATCCCCGGCCCTAGTGTTGTAATTTCTTTCTTTCTTTCTTTTTTGCCTTGAGACAAAAAATGACAGGGTCTCTCTGCAGTTTAGGCTGGCCTTGAGCTCACTTTCTAGCCCAGGCTGATCTCAAACTTGCAGCGATCCTCCTGCCTCAGCCTCCTGAGTGCTGGGGTTACAGGTGTGCGCCTCCATGCCCGGCTGTGATTTCTAAAGTAGCTTCTACAGTTAGATTTTGTGTGTGTAAGGGGGCTGGAATTCAAACCTGGGGCCTCATGTTATATTAAACCACTGAGCTACATCATAGCTCTTTTTATTTTGAGACAAGGTCACACAGTGTTGTCTAGGCTGGCCTCAAACTTGAGATATTTCTGCTTCAGCCTCTTAAGTAGCCAGAATAACGGCATGTGCCATTACACCTGGCTAGAGTTAACTTTTGGGGGTTGTTTTGTTTTGTTTTGTTTGAGACGGGGTCTTACTGTGTAGACGAGACTGGCCTTGAACTTGCTGGCTGGCTGAAAACTTGGAGTGATCCTCCTGCCTCAGCCTCCTGAGTGCTGGGATTACAGGCATGCATCACCAAGCCTGGCTTAGAGTTAACTTTTGATGGTATTGTTACTAACTGTTGTAGTTCTGACATCACAGGTGTGAGACTGAAGTAAATTCATGAACCTGTAGTTACATGAGTTGATATATAATAGCACATTAAATTATTTACTACTATAAACACAACACTGGAGAGCTGTAATAGCTGATAAAAGTCTTTCACCTTATTTCTAACCCACCTAATAAGAGTATATATATCTTGTGAAAGATAAGTTTTCGAGTGGAAGTTTTCGAGTGGCTGGAGAGCTTCTGCTCTTTGGGAAGGCCTGTTCTTTTTGTATAGCAGACAGGAGGAAATGGAGTGCTAGGTCATAAGTCCTCTGGCTCCCGGGAGGGTTCAGATTGAAATTGGATTCAGAGACCTAAACTAAGAATCGTAAGTTAGGGTGGACGTAAGTAGAGAGAGTAGGCTGTGTGTGATAGCTGCACACTAGTGCTGTGGGATCACTAATGGCCTGTCAGACCACCCTGGCGCCTACTTGGGCCCTGGCCTGTAGCAACTCCCAGATCAGTATGTCTCCTTCTCCCTGCTGACTTACTTCTTTTTGTTGTTTTGGGTTTGGTTGTTTTTCTTTCAGTACTGAAGATCAAACCCAGGGGCTTATGCGTGCTGAGGACCTGGTTTACCACAAATGTATACTCCCAGCCCTCCAATGCTTTTAATAGCAGAGTAGTAGTAAACAAAACGCTTCCTGGGGCTGGGGTTGCAGCTCAGTGCTAGAGCTCTTCCCTGCATGCACATGGTAAGCGCATGCTGTACCAGTGAGCTACACCACCAGCTCCAGAACTTTGCTTTGAAACCTGAGGAACTTAACTTTGGATCTTGCTAAGTTGTTCTGGTTGGCCTTGAACTTGTGATCCTCGTACTTTACCCTCCTGAGTTTGAATGTTCTGTAATTTACTTGACCATTTTCTTATTATTGGGTATTTTAAGTTGTTACAGAGTTTTGCTACTGTAAATGATACCATCAGGACTATCTGGAAATAGCCCTTGTGTTAAAAGAATCTTTTAGATCCAACTTTTGATCTTCTAAGAAAAATAATCTGAAATTAGGTACTTGTAGTTGCTTAAGTTCAACTTTTTGTTCAGAGCTCTATAGAAAGTATAAACATTACAATCTTGTTAGAGTTTTTTTGTGAAGCCAAGGCCTTGTGCGTGGTAAGCACATGCTGTACCAGTGAGCTACACCACCAGCTCCAGAACTTTGCTTTGAAACCTGAGGAACTTAACTTTATTTTATAGTTTCATGTAGGCAGGGTTCTTGCATTGTAGTCATAAAGTAACTGGTTTTATGGCATGTGATTTTTATGGTTACTACTACAAAAAGAAGTATAAGAGGTCTATTTCAGAGTTAGACTAGTTTATGAGACCCTATTAGTTTCATTAAGAAGAGAAAGTGCCAGTGGAGTATTGGCATACTTTAACTGTAGGTTCCATTCTCTATTTTAGCGGGTCCTCCTCGCCCTGGTATGATGCCAGCACCGCATATGGGAGGCCCTCCCATGATGCCAATGATGGGCCCGCCTCCTCCCGGGATGATGCCAGTGGGACCTGGTAAGTTGGAAAGTCTCTCCTTTTCACATATTCCACTGGGTTGTAGTTCTCCAGTCAAGTGGACTTCTTAATTAGCTATCTAAATGTGTTATTGCAAGTATTTTGACAGATTACATTTGGGCAGCCTTAAATGGTAAAGAGAAAGAAATACTTTGTTTATCAGTATAATTGAATGGTATCCAACCACCCTGGACTTCTAAAAGCAGGATAAGGCTGCCTTTGTCTGTCTTCCCTTTATCTTCTATTTCCTTGCCTCATCTTAATTTTTAGCCATTTACAAGGAGAAAGGTAAATGAGTTTGTTCCATTTTAGGGGCTTAAGAGTAGATACATTTTCTCAGTTTTGATTCAGATTACAGCTGCCTCCTCTAACATGTGTTTAATCTTCCTAGCTAACTAGGGCAAATAGTAAAATAAAAACATTTTAGGCTTATTTTCGGTTTTATTTTTTTTGTGGCACTAAGGGTTGAACCCAGGGCCTCACATATCCTAGGCAAATGCTCTACAACTGAGTTCATTCTCTAGCCCTTTATTTTTAAAAAAAGTTTTAAACTTTGAAACGGGATCTTGCTAAGTTCTGGTTGGCCTTGAACTTGTGATCCTCATACCCACTTTACCCTCCTGAGTAACTAGGATTACAGGCATGTGCCACCACAGCTGGTATTAGCTGGACTTTTTATTCAGGAAGCATTTTATCTTCTTCGTCTGTGTGTGTGTGTGGTGCTGGGGATCAAAACTAGGGCCTTGTGCATGGAGGGAACAGCTCTACCACTGAGCTGCATCACCAGCCGCAGGAAGCATTTTATTTACTTTTAAACTTAATTATTTTTGTGCTGAGGATTGAACCCACAGCCTCATGTATACTAAGCACACATGCTGTCTCTGAGCTACCCCTCTCAGCCCCAAACATTGTGTTTTAAATTTTTCTTTTTCACAGTGCTATAATTATACCCAGGGCCTTGCCCATGTTAGGCAAGTGCCCCGCCACTGCTATATATCCCCAACACCCATTTTTTAATGTAAACATAACATACATTAATTTGCAAATCTTTCTGCTGTTTGAGCAGGGCCTTTGCTTTGAGAGTGAGTCTGCAGATTAGAACGCTGTATTTCTTGCAGAAGCCAAAAAAGCATAATCGTCAGCCATGGTGGTGCAGGCCTGTAATCCCAGCACTATGGAGGCTGAGGCAGGAGGATCGTTGCGAGTTCGAGACCAGCCTGGGCTACAAAGCAAGCACAAGGCCAGCCTGAACTGCATAGCGAGACCCTGTCTCAAAAAGACCCCCAAAAAAGAGCATAATCTTAGTGCTTTCTCTACCAACTTTATTTTCATTTTCTTTGACTTGGCTAGAAACCTAATGGTGCAATCCAGTTTCAGTCTTTTATTGTCATTTTGCTTACCAAGTTTGAGCAGTTTTGGGGGTGATTTGTCTGAGTCTTAAGTACATCCAGTTTTCATGGAAACAATTCTCTTTTTTTGTTGTTTTTTTTGTTTTGTTTTGTTTTGTTTTTGATTTGATCTTTTTGAGACAGGGTCTCACTATGCAATACAGGCGGGCCTTGAGCTTACTTTGTGCCCAGGCTGGTCTCAAACTTGGAATGATCTTCTTGCCTCAGCCTCCCAAGTACTGGGATGACGGGCATGTGCCACCATGCCTGTCCAGAAACAGTTCTCTTTTAACAATATTTTATTGGTTTGCAGAATAGTTAAATTACACAATTACAGGGTTTTTTTGTTTGTTTGTTTTTCCGGTACCGGGAATTGAACTCACGACCTCGCGTTTGCCAGGCAGGCGCTGTACTGCTGAGCTAAATCCCCAGCCCGTATACAGTTAGAGTAATAAATATGATGGATATAATGCAGTTTGGGAACATTTGTGACTAATGCCTACAGCTCAACTGGAAAAGCAAACGGCAGAGGTATTAGAGAAGCTTTGTAGCTAAATTATTCAGTGTGCCTGCTTGGAGCGGGTTGAGAGAGTATAGAGTTTCCCTGTCAACCCAAAACACAATCAAAGAAATTTAGGTGGCTTTAGCATTCTTAAATCAGGGTCACAAATTCAAATATGTAGAATGGTTACCAATGTCATGAACTGGTAAATGCATGATTGTCTAAAGAAAGCTTCTAGCTAAGTATGGTGGCTTGTGCCTCCTGTCCCAGCTGTTCAAGCAGCTGAGGCAGGAGGATTGCTTGAGCCCAGACTGGGCAAGAGAGAAAGACCCTGTCTGACAAAAAAGGAAAAAATAAAGAATGTTCCTAGAACTCAAGCTTTAGCCTGTGGATTGAGTGCAGGCTTTTCTTTTTTCTTTTCCAAGGCCAGGATAAAAGGGTAAGATTGTGGGATAAGATTGTGGTGTTTTAAAAAAAAAAAAAAAAAGTGGAGGGTTATTGAGGGTGGGTGGGTATAGAAATGAGTGGGGGTGTAGATAACCAGCACTGGCCGTGGGTGGAGACTGAAGCTGAATGGTGGGTACATGGATGTTCCTTACACTGTTTTTTACTATCCTTGTGTTTGTTTGAGTATTCTCATATTAAAAAGGTAAAAGAACCTAGAATTCTATATGAAATCCTAATGATGGCAATTAATTCAAGTTAAATCTGCTGGAGACGAAAGAAAACAAGTTTTCAGGTCTCCAGTTTTTAACTTTTGGTCTGCGTTAGTTTTCTGTAAGAAATGCTTGAATTCGTGGTACATTAGGGACAGACCTTTATGTGGAATTTAGAAGTTTAGTAGTACTCTGTGTTCCTGTTGAAATTGATCTTTAAAAAATTACGTACTTGTTGGATTTTGTCTTTGCATATACTTGTTTCATTTTTTTGTGAAAAGGCTATATTCAACTTTGAATATAGTTTTCTCTTGAACCATTTGCTACAAACCTTTAATCAAAATTATTTAATTAAAATAAATAATTAGGCAAAATTTAGTACTTACAAGAAATTTATACCACATGAGAATTATGAAGTATAGTAATATAATGAATATCCATGAGTCCACCACCCAGCTGAGGAAGTAGAACGTTATCAGTTCCATTTTGAAGCTGCCTGTGTTGTTCTCCTACCCTTCTGCTTGCCTTCCCCTGTATGGCTCACTTATTGAGGTTGGTTTGTTGATGGGACACTTAAAAAATTTTTATTAATAGCTTCTAAAATGCATTAGAGAAATAAAATTTTGTGTGTGCTAATTGTTATAAATCACATTATTGCCTATTATTTTTCTTGACTTGAGCTAAGTATGGTTACTGACAGGTTCTCAGCATGGGCCTCCTGCTCACCTTTCCTACAACTCCGAACAAACGCTTAGTGGTAAGATTGTCCTCTGTGCCTGTGTACATTCATGCAATAGCTCCTGGTTATATGGTGGATATAACTGGTTAAAAGAGCTGACTGAATAACATGTGACTTAGTTGTGAATTTCCCTAACGGAGAAAAAAGGTCAGTTTAGGGAACTAGTGTCCCTGGTGGTTTCTCAAAAGCAGTCTATTTATAGTTTCCCTTTACTCTCATTAAGATCATGATTCCCACATGGTTCTTGTGTTGACTTTTTCATTTTTTGTTTGAGAATGTCTGAGTAATTTACAGATGTGATTAATTTGTTGCATTTCTTCTGTCAAGTATGTCTTTTTTCCAGCATTTTGCAGGGGGGGGTGCTTTTGTTTTTGTTTGAATTCCCATCACAGTCTCCTCAGTGGCGTTTTCTCACTCCTTTTATCCTTTTTCTTTGTTTTGTCCTGCAGCTCCTGGAATGAGGCCACCCATGGGAGGCCACATGCCGATGATGCCGGGGCCTCCAATGATGCGACCTCCGGCTCGGCCCATGATGGTGCCCACTCGGCCAGGCATGACTCGACCAGACAGATAAAGCGAGCGGGGCGGCCTCTTTGTATCACTTTTGTATTATTTGTTCTGCTTCACCAGGGGATCACGGTGCTGTGGCTCTGGGTTTTTTCTAACAGCATGAATGACAAGGAAGACTTGCTCCCCCTTCCTATCAAAGAGAGAATAGTTTTGAAGGGAGAAGTATGATAAACAAGAGTGCAGAAAGTACAGTTTCGTTTGTATTGTGAAATGTGAAAATAAAAGTCGTCAGCTTTTAGTTAAAAGCGTTTGTCTTTTCCTTCCCTCTGCATTCTGTGTATATAGATTAAACATTCCAGTTGTGTTCCTCTAGCTCATTCTCATCAGCAAGTTCTGTGTGTGAGATGTTTTCCCCTTAGCTATAAAGTCCCTTTTAACACCTGCTTTTAATTTATAAAGTTACCACTTTCTTTTTTTGTTTTGTTTTGCTTTGTTTTTGTTGTTTTGCAACAGGGTCTCACTATGTAGTTCAAGCTGGCCTTGAACTCGAGGCATTCCCACTTCAGCCTCCTAAGTGCTGGGATTATAGGCATGTGCCGCCATGCCGGGTTAGTTAGTAAAGTTCTGTTGTGTAGGACTCTGATAAATCCAACACGTACAGAGCCTACTTGCCTCCCTCCTTTTTCTCCCCATTTGGGTGTTTCTTTGGGGTACTGAGGATGGAATCTAGTCCCTTGAGTATGCTAGCGAGGCAAGCATAGAGCTTTTATTGGCTAAAATAATAATACTTTATATAGCAAGTGGGATATTTTAAATCTTTGATGCTAAAGTAGAGAAAAATAAATATGCATGTAAGCTAAAAATGGAAAGAGATGCTTTAACCTCAGTTTCTCCTTTTCTTAGCTCTCTTTTGTGGCTTCAAATAGCCAGAAACTTTCTGTAGGAGTCATACAACTGTAGATATCCATGGTACAGGAGGTGCCTTGATTTATTTTCTTTCATTATATTTTTGGTGGTGGTAGGGACTGAAGCCAGGACCTCATATATGACAGGCAAGTGTTTTAATCCCTTGGCTACATCTCTAGCTCCAGAAGCTGCCATTAGAATGCTATTTGTTATGTCACTGGACTGTAAAAGTAACATTTTCAGGGAAGCACCTAGAAAATAAGCCATTGGCACTAGTCATACTCAGTGCAGTAAAAGTTATACTTTTTTTCACATTGGAAGTGGGACCAAAACTTGTTATAATCTCGAGAAAGAAATTTGGCAAAGAAAAAAAAGAAATTTGGCAATATGTGTTGAAATTATAATACCTATACTGTATCCTGTGACCTAGGGTTTCCATGTCTCAGAATTTATATAGGTACTAATACAGATATAAAAAGAGCCGGGGATATAGCTCAGTGGTACAAGCACCTGCCTGGCAAGTGCAAGGTCCTGAGTTTGACTCCTGGTACAAAAAAAAAAAAAAAACAAAAAAACCCAGATATGAAAAGATTTATGTATTACAGCAAAATTGGAAATGATTTGTCCACAAAGTTGCCAATACCATAAATGTTAAAACAGTAGGGCTGGGGTTGGTGGCATGTTCCTTTAATCCCAGCACTCAGGAGGCTGAGGCAGGGGGGATCACGAGGAGTTCAAGGCCAGTCTGGATTACATAGCAAATTGAAAGCCAGCCTGAACTATAAAGTTAGACCCTATCTTAACCCCCCTACACACACTCACAAACAGCAGGAAGCTCTGTGTACTGATAGGAACAGATTTCCAACATAGACATTGCTCTGTGTTTTGGTTTCTTCACATAATAATTTGTTACTGCTGCCCCTTTAAAGGAAATGCCTGTATTTGCCTGTGTGCAAGAAGAACGGTTCTTGTGGACTGATAAGCAACTGGTAACATCCACTGCTCACAGGATGGCTGCCTGGGGGACAGGGACAGGAGAGAGAAGCTTGTCCCCTGCTGGTATCTCTCTGATTTTGAATCATTAAAAATAAGCCAGGTGCAGTGGCACACGCCTATAATCCCACCTACTTGGAAGACTGAGGCAAGAGAATTACAAGTTTGAGGCCAACTTGGCCAGCTTAGTGAGACCCTGTCTCAAAAAGGACTGGGAGGCGGGCATGGTGACACGTGTCTGTCATCCCAGCACCTGGGAGGCTGAGGTGGTAGGATCACTGTCACTTGGTGGCCAGCCTGGGCTATGTAGAGATGTGTCTCAAAAATAGGACTGGGGACATAGCTTGGTGGTAAAGCACTTGACAAGCATGCAGGAGCCTCTAGGTTTAATCTCCAGCACCAGAAAAATAAAACACCCCTGTCAACTGAGATTACAGTGACATTATGACAGAATGTGACCCAAACTGGCAGTGTACTGTCTGCTGCAATCAGAATCATCAGACAGTTTTCAAAATAAAGATAGATTTTCACTCAATATATCTGAAATAAGGCCTAGGAAAATTTTAAAATTTGAAAGGTCTTACTGGTTCAGGCTGGGTGTGAACTCACTGTGTAGCACAAGCTGAACTTGAACTTGTGCTTCAGCCTCCCTAGGGAAGTTTGCATTTTAAAACAGATTTTTTATTTTATTTTATTTTTTTAGGTTGTTTGAGACAGGGTCTTGCTCTAATTCAGGCTGGCCTTGAACTCACTTTGTAGCCCAGGCTGGCCTCTAACTCACAATGATCCTCCTGCCTCAGCCTCCCAAGTGCTGGGATTACAGATATATGCAACCACACCCGGATAGTTAAATGTCAATTTGGGATTGTATACTTGCTTCCTTTTCTGTGGGAAAATGGACGCCACTTAGTGCATTTAAGATCCAGGCTGTCGTTTCTACTGCTTGACTTCAATGCTTCATCAGAATGCTAGTCCCCTTGGTTCTGGGCTTCTTGAGGACTGAAACAGTCCCATCCCCTTTTGCTTAACTGGGTCGTCCTTAACCTCGATTTGCTTGCTATTTCGTATGATCACATTTAGACTGCACCCCCCGCCATTGTGTCCCAGGGTAGCATACTGATAGGCAGCACACAGTCCATCTGCCTGTCATGGGTGAGTTGGATTACACATTAGGGTGAGTGTCAAATTTTGCATATTTGCTCTTTTTGAATAATTGTCTTTCACAGTCTAGTGCATTTGGGGTTGCTTGTCCAAGAATAAAGGAGTGGAAGTTGGGCTGGAGGTGGAGGTCAGTGGTAGAGTGTTTGGTTTGCATGGGTAAGGCCCTGGGTTTCATCAGAACAAAACAAAAAAGTGAAAAGCAAGACAGAGCATTTCACCTTTTTTTCTTCTTAATGCTACATTTCCCTTTTTTAATCCCCCCGAGGCCTGTGTTGGTAGAAGGGAAACATGTCAAAGGCACCAAGCACAGTAACGAGGGTAGTGTAGCAGGCAGGCAGGCCACCCTGATGTCTAACTATAGGGCTACAATTTTTGTCTGGATCTTAGCCGTCTGCAGTGAGGAATACATTTCCCATAGTCTGAAGTTAGTGAGGCCCGGTGGAGGCGGGAACAGGCCTTTTCTCTGCCCTTCTCTGTCCTGTTGACCGGAATGTGGATAAGCACTTAGAACGTAAGGAGTCTTTGGCCATGGCTTGAGCCTGATGTCCAGGCGCTCCCCAGCACCCCACCTTTCCAGGATAAAAGTGTTCCTAACCTGGCACTTTCTACCCCTGGCTCATCTGGTTTATTTTTCTTCCTGGCACATGTCATCCAATATTAGTACTCTGTGTTCCTTGACTTTCCCTTTAGGATATAACCACAGGGATGGTTTTGGTTGCTCTCTGGGGAGAGCCTGGACATCAGGCCCAAGTCTTTGGCCATGACTTGACAACTAAGGATGGTGTTAGCAAGATACAAGCAGCTGATGCCCCTGATTAAACAGCTGCAGTGGACTACCTATCTACCACTGAGCTACATCGCTGACCCTTATTTTTATTTATTTTGAGAAAGGGTCAAGTTGCCTAGGCTGACGTGTGATCCATGTGCCTCATCTTCCCAAGTAGAGGCATATGCCACTGTGCCCCATTGAATGAAATAAACATCTTTGACATTAAAGTCACGTATCCCTTTGGGTTTTGTTATAAACAAATGAAACTACACCAGATTGATAAAAAGAAAATGGATTTAAAAACTAGATGGAGCCTGGTGTGGTGGCGCACTCGTGGAAGAGAATCACTGATGAACTTGCCTTCTAGAAAATCTTGCCTTGCCTGTGCTGCTCTGTAACGCTCTGAGTGCAGATGCGGTTCTCAGTGCCGAGGATATAATAGCAACCAAAACCATCCCTGTGCTTACATCCTAAAGGGAAAGTCCAGGAACACAGAGTACTAATATTGGATGACATGTGCCAGGAAGAAAAATAAACCAGATGAGCCAGGGGTAGAAAGTGCCGGGTTAGGAACACTTTTATTCTGGAAAGGTGGGGTGCTGGGGAGAGCCTGGACATCAGCTTTCCTGGCAGAGGGACCAGCAGGCACACAGACCCTGCATTGGGAGTTGACTTCTTTCTTGTACTGGGGGAAGGGCAAGGGGAGACCAGTGTAACTGAAAACAGTTAAAACTCTTGACAGTGATGATTGCATATTGTAGCAGAAAAAGTGCCCCACCCCCCAGGCAGTATACTTCAGTTGCCCCGGTGACATTTCCTGTTCCAGTTCTGGTTGCTCCTGCCTCTTAGAAACGGCTGGTGGTCACTGTGATACACAGCTGGTCACTATGATACATATTATAAGAACCAATCAAAGACAGCTAAGTACTCTACCTCTGTACCCGCTCCTTGGCAACCCCATGAAAACCTCCCTCCCTGGGTCTTCAAGGCCTGACATTTTGAGGGACAGCTGATTCCCTGTCAGTGCCCGTCTGACATTAAATAAATCTGCCTTCAAGTCTCGGGTGTTGTTTTGGTGTTTCTGTTGCCATTGTAATG